TTTCTATTTTCTGACGTCTTTTTTGATCTCCCTTTTCAGAGTACTGTATTTTTTCTTGTAGAGGCCTTCACTTCTCTGGCTAGGTTAATTTTTAAGTCATCATGACTTCTTTTCATCTGTGCTACCGCCTCTCGGTCAGTGTTTCACAGTGACGCTGGTTGCACTGCTGCAGTGACCTGCTGTGTGTGCCCGCTTTTCCTCTTTTGTATCACAGCAGCCAAAGTGAAGTTTCATCAATTTGCTTGTTCTGTTGTTTCAGTTTATCCACTCACGTTGTTAACAAGGAGTTGGTCCTGGGGATCTAAGTTCAGAGTATACTGTGGACATACAGGTTCCCATCCAAGAGACCATCAGTAGCATTGACAGAATCCTAGCTGTTCTTCTACAGATAACTTTTGACCATCATGACATCTTAAGCATATTCTCCTGTTCTTTCTTGGGCTCTCATGCTCCCAGCTTCCCTTTAAAAACTATATATGTATAATATACATGCTATTATAGTAGCATTCTCTGTATACAGTTCTGTACTTTTTCATTTATCAATAACTGTGATGATGTATTTAGCATTAATTGTATTAATCTGATTGCCTGAGACCCTATTTCAAACCCCTTTTTTGGTTTCCTTTGATTCTTGTGCTAAATACCTGTACCCAGTTTTTTAATATGGTGTCCTTTGAGTCACATGTCATCTCCACAAATGTTTTGTGTGTCCCACCTACTGTTACAAAAAGTTAGAACTCAAAAATTTTTAGACTGACGATGCAGAACCAGTTGGCTACAGATCCCATCCCGAGTGCACGAACCCCTCAGAGCCTGATGTTGCTGCCCGTAGCTGGAAAACATTCTATATTTGTTTCTTTGTGTCTAGAAAAGAAACTGATAAAATGTAGATAATTTTATTCCAGCTATTCCCATTCTCTAAACACTATTATTGTCTTTACATTAACTCAGATTTTACATGCCCTGGATTGTTAAACTTTTAGATATAAAAATATACTTTATTACCACTTGACATTCTTCATTAAACTTAAAAATTTATTGACCAACAAATTATTTTGTTATCACTTAAAGATTATGTGACCTTAATCATTTTAAAACATTAACCAATTAGGTTACTTTCCAGAAGCATAAGTGAAAATTTCCTATCTATCCCTTGAATATTATTTGGGTATTTTTCTTTAAATCGTTATATTCCTGTTTTCCACAATAACATTTCTGGCTGGTTTTTCCCACTTGCATCTTTATGCTACAGTCTTCCTTTTGTTTTCTGCTTCCTGTGAGTCTGAGATATCCTGGCTGGCAAGAAGTGAGCACTGCTTGGTGAGTTTCCTTGTGCTTTGGTCTGTCCCAGTTCCTACTGGAAGAACAAAGCAGGACGGGCTCAGCTGTGGTCTCTGACAGTGCTGCTGGTTTTCCTAGCTGGCAGTGAACTTTTGCATGGCAACACATTCCTCCTTATCTTCCAGAGCCTTTTCAAAGAGCAGCAATCTGTGTACCATAAAACATTTTTCAAACTAAAAAGTGTCCACAGATTCCATACTGATCATATGCTTCTCACCCAGAAGTTCATATGATACATAAATATTTATATATAAAATATAGACAATGCATATGTATGAATATATAAGTATGGAATAATTTATACATATGACATGTATGATTTGATATATCTGATACACAAATAATTGTACACAAAACACTGTACCACTTTAATTTCCTTTTATCTTTTTGAAGCATAACTGGAGAGATGGTTAAAAGATGAATAGATGTCTAATTAGGAACAAAATTGGCTGAAAGTCAGAAAGCAGCCTAGGTGTGTCCCTGACTTACCGAGGGAAGGCACTGGGCTTTCTGTACGGGTTCAGCTTTTGTCATCTGCAGTGAGAGAGGGTAGGGTTAGAGCAGCAGTTTTTAGCACCTCTTGTTTCCCACTAGAAGCACAGGGAACTTTTAAAAGTTGAAGGTGCTCAGCCCTATTGAGAGATTCTGTTTTAGTATTTTAGAATGTACAGTAGCTGGGGTAAAAGCTGCTAGCTTGATGTATTCTAGGTTTTTGTAGGTAGGCAAGTTTCTGGCTTTCTTTTGCCGTCCTAAAATGGGGTGAGTGAGTTGTGCCCAGAGCCTTGTGGATGGCACCTTTGGCTGGGTTTGTTGAAGATGGGCTTCTGAAGAAGGCCCTGAGCAACTCCTCTTGTCTGCTCCACACAGTGTCTTTGGGTCCCCTCACCACAGAGCCCCCTCGCAGCCACAGCCCTCCTGCTCCCTTGCCGTGGTTGAGAATTGTATGAGTCTTCATGCTAGGCAACAGTGCTGGCTGGTGCCAGGACCAGGTAGGGTCCTGCTCCCATGTGGTTTTAAACCAGCAGCCAGCAGCCGTCACCTGCATGGTTTGGTGGCTTGCTATCACTAATCTTTTTATTTTTAAAATTTATTTTATTTTTTATCAATACATGTTTGTAGTATATGTATTGATAAATGATGTATCGTTTCCATTATTCCATTTCATTATGGGGAGTAGGTACATTACATATGGGATCTTAAGTCCCCCTCCTTTTGGTACTGAGGGTTGAATCCATGGTCTTGTACATGCTAGGCAAGTATTCTTATCACTGAGCTTCCTCTATAGCTACCAAAATTTTTTTGTAATTTTTATTTTAAAGAGAATAAAACTAAGCAAAATAAGATAAAGCCAATCAGAACAAACCAGTGTAAGTGATACAGGACTTCAAGACAAGATAATAGGAAATCAACAGCGATTACCATAATGCCTCTTGTTGTCTTCAAAATAGCTGCCCATACTTTCAGACGTAGTAAAAATCAAACAAAACAGAACAGAATAGAACCAATAAAAACAAAACGATGTATACCACAAAGGACTTCAAAACAGGATAATAGTAAATTCAAAATGGCTACTGTAATGTATCCTGTTAACTTTGAAATAGCTGCCCATGCCATCAGACATAATAAAATCAAATAAGACAAAAAAGAATAAAACCCAACTGAACAAAACAATGAAAATGATACAGGACTTCAAAAGAAGGCAATAGGGAATTAACAATGGCCACCACCTTCAAAAGGTCCCATAGATGCTACATGGCATATTGTTGTCCTCTAAATAGATGGTCAGACTACCGGCTTTAGGCCTGCAAAGTCAGTGAAACACTAAGTACTATAAACACTAGGTTGTATTTTACCTCAATAGCTATCATCACAGCCTGTGTGTTTCCAGATCACCCCAGTCACTTATGGGGTGGGGCGTGGGGGACCATGGACCTCAGCTCTTCTTGCGTCCCAGCCCATGTGCTGGAAGGGTTACCTCTGGTTCTTCCCCCAGCACTGACTCACAGGTAGGGCTTGGCTTCTTGTTCTTCTCCCCTGTGGTCCACAAATCATAGCCACCATTTTTTTTTTTTTTTTTAGTAACTCTCCTTTCCAAAATTGTCAGTCTTTTATTGCATTCTCTTGAGCATGCTGTGACCTTTAATTTCTTCAATCCCTGGAATGACCAATAAGTACATTTTTATACAGTAGTTAGCTTTTAAAATAATACTTTTAACGCTATCATGTTGGTTCTAATCATCTTAGGCTCTTGCCATTGAATACTTCATAAATAACACAATAAAATATATTTAAAAAGGGAACAGTACATTACAAGTATGTTAGATTTTTCTTAGAAATTTTCCTGTCTAGTTTTTCCTCCGTGTCCCCGTTGCAGCCCTGGTGTAGAGCCCTGTCTGTCCTCCCGGTCTCTTCTCCATGCATGATAAGGGAAGGCAGCTGGAGTTGCCACAGGCCCTGTGAGGAGTACTTGCATTATCACACGGAGAGCCAGGAGGCTGCAGACAGGAAACTGTGGCTCCTAGAGCTCCACACCTGTTGGTGTGGAGCTGCAGGTCAGGCTCTGTGCTTAGTACTGTCTATGCATTGTCTCACTCAGTGCTTCGTGGGAAGATTTTTCATTTGGCCAAGCACTGAATTGTGATGTAGATATCCGTTCTTGTCCACAGTCACAAGGCTGGTCACTCCCACACTGGGTAGTGAATGCAGGGCCTTTGCACTGAGCTGCATCCTCTGCCCTTATTCTGTTTCTGTCTTTTGAGACAGGGTTTAACTCATCCACTGAGTTGCCCAGGCTGGGCTCTCACTTGTGGCCCTTCTGCGTTAGCTTCCCAGAGCGCTGGGGTTACAGGTGTGCTCCGCCACATCCATACCCGAGCTGCACGCGCACCTCTGTGCCTCCGCAGCCCCCCACTCTAGCTCACCCCTGGCGCACCAGTCTGTTAACCCTGCCTCTCGCTAGCCCCCCCTGAACAATGCCTCTTCTTTTTTAACTTGTGCTCCTCTGCTCAGAAGCAGTCTGTGACTTTCCTAGACCTGAAGACTGTCTGTCTGTCTGTGTTTAACTTTTAAGACCCTCTGAAGTCTCTTTGGCCCCTCCCACGAACCCTTATACCTGCAGTGCCTCCTGGCAAACCTGTCTGGATTACCGCTCACCAGCATGCCAGGCCAGTGCTCTCTTCATCGCTTCAGCTAGCTTTCCCTAAATGCCTGTCCTGTGCTGGAGGCCTGACATCTCCACCCATTAGACTGAGTCTACTCCAGAGTGCTGCTGGGTCTCTTCTGAGCAGCTCTGCCTCCCCTGCTGCCTCACGGGCTCCCACCAGGGCTCTCTACAAACAGGGTGTGGTGCGAACCTCACCACAAGGTCTTCTGTGTCTCAAGTCATGCATGCACTCTGAAGGCAAAGGCCACATAAGAGCGATCTAGAGCATACACTACTTACGTAATAAATAGGCGTGGGTTGAGTTACGATTTGTGAGAATAGTGTCTTTTCCCTCAAAGGATTTGTTACATTTTGAGTTGAAAAAGACACAAAAACTTAAAATGTTAATTCTTAAGACTTTTTAAAAAGAAAAAAAAAGACTTTTTAAAAAGGATGTGTTGTGTTTATTTTAAGGGCTAGTAAATCTGATCACCTAAAACTGTCCCTGTTCTCCTAGTAAACGTCCCTTCCACGGTCATGGAAGCCATGTGCCGGCAAGACACCTTGCAGCCCTTCAGCAAGAGCAGCAAACTCTCCCCGGCCTCCACGCAGCGCTCCGTGGTTTTCCCACAGACTCCGTGCAGCAGGAACTTCTCTCTCTTGGACAAGTCGGGGCCCATCGAGTCGGGATTTAACCGAGTCAACGTGAAGAACCAGCGCGTCCTGGCGAGCCCGACTTCCACCAGCCAGCTCCATTCGGAGTTCAGTGACTGGCACCTCTGGAAGTGCGGGCAGTGCTTTAAGACTTTCACCCAGAGGATCCTCCTCCAGATGCACGTGTGCACACAGAACCCCGACAGGTAACCCAGCCCTGGCTGCTCTCACTGTGTAGTGAGAACACAGCCTCCCTTCCTGCCGGCTGCCCGTGGCTGCCTCCCCAGTGCTCAGAGGGGTCTGCTGTCGGAAGGGCCTGAGGAATTCGAGACACTGCTTACCTCTGTTGTCTGTCAGGGCCACGCAGGCAGGCTGGTGGCTGTAGCAAGAAATCTGTGCTTGCTACTCAAATACTGCTGTCCGAGTGTAACAGTAGAAGAAACATTTATGAATATCATAGGTGGCAAAATGAGGTCGGGATAGTTAGAATCCTCTCTGTCTTCCCAAGATAATACAGCAGGCTGCTCTGCAGCTGTCATAGTCATTTCAGGGTTCACCTTCAGTGTGCCATGGGTATGAACTTAATTAAGTACTAAGAGGTAATGAATTGGAATTTTTTGCTTAGTACTATTTTTCTTCAGAGCATGCAAACCCATAAATCCTGCAAAGCTGTCAAAAGGAAATACCTACTCTGCTAGTGATGTGGAGGAAAACAGATGCCACTTATTCAATAAACTAATATCCACACAGAAGAAAAATGTTGACTAGATACCTCACAGTCAAAGTTGGCTTGAAAGTTTGTCAATAAAGAATTTTATGGCCATGAACTGAGGATGAAATTTAGCTGAACAAGTGAATTAAAATTTCAGGTACTCTGACAAGTGGCACAGTAGATATAATGGAACTATTATTTATGAATCAAAACTGGTTTATTTGACAGTCTTGATAGCTGGGAGTGCAAAAGACAAAAATCAAATTAATTCAATAAGAAAGGATTACTCATGTTTTATCTCCCCACATCCTATGAAAACTAGAATAAAACCAAAATATCTAAGAACAGCATTGAAAATGCATTTTGAATATAAAAACAAAATACTCTTGGAAGTAGCACTGAAGGTCAAAAACGGGGTTCTTGAATTACTTTCTTAATTTTGCCGCTGATCAACCTTAATTACGCAAGCCACTTAACTCTCTGTGCCAATTAATGTGTGCTGAGTTCTTCCCTCCCAGCTCTGCAGGATACAGAAGTATGCCTAGAGAATCCAAACATGGGCAAAGGGGATGAAGGTGTGGTAGAAGGGAATGGATATTTAAAATAATTTTAGGGTGCATACGTACATTTACATGTATGTTTTTATTTGTGCCATCTTAGAAATTGTTTACTTATCATCAAACACTGCTGTAACTAATAATGTTAAAACATTTACATTAGGGCTGTTAAAGGCAACTATGTCTTGGAGAAAGTTATCAACGGACCTGGCTCCATCCTAGTACTTTGACTTAGAAGTATTATCACCTATGTATGGACTAAAGTGATATACATAGGTGATATATAGGGGTGAAAATGTTTTCTTCATGCAGAAAATATTTTTTTGTTATGTTTAGCTTTCCTGCAAATATACATGTAGCCTCAAGATACAGCTACTTTAAATGTGCAAAGCATTTTAGCAGTGTTTAAAAATATAAATGATGCATTAAAATCTTTAAAAGTGCTTTTTAAAATTTGCAGATGAATTAATCTATTATTTGCAAAGGTATGTTAATAGTTACAGAAACTGAACACCTGAAGTAAAATAAAATGATAGTTGAAAGTGTTTCTGGATATTGGAACTCAAAGCTTAGTTTTGAATATCATGCTAAATATCATAAAAACAATGAAACTCTCTTTTTGGTAAATCCAAAGATACTGAAACAAACTGCTCTGTCTTAGAAAATTGTGTTCATATTACGGTTACACTTAGAAAATTATGTTTGTGTTACGCTGCAAGTCCCTATGAATTTTGTCCTGTAAAATAATAATGTTCTAATTTGTATACATTTATGAAAATTATCAGAAAAATATCTTTTAAAAAAGCTGTCAGGAAAGTATTTGAAAAATTAGCTTGCATGTTTAAACTCTGCTTGATCTCAATCAGCTTATTTGGCTGATAAGCGAGGTGGTCTGGCCTGCCTCCCCAGGCAGGGCGCAGTCATGCTGGTTTGTTAGCAGGGTTCCTCAAAGTTTCTCAAAGAGTGGATTCCCGCTTCTCCCATCCTCGCACTTTGTTGGTGAAGACTTGAGAGGTGTCTACTCTCTTTCATTCACAGATAAGTAAGAATTAAGAATTATAACTTCAAAAAGTGAATCCCTATTTTGGCATAGTAATAAAGTGTGGTGTTGTCTTACTAACTGCGTGGAGATGCTGGAATTGCACCATCGTATCTGAGTTGATTGTTAGAGATAAGAAGGGTGAGGGAGATGCCCAGTCACTTTGATTGGTCATTTCATTCTAGATGGTTAATTTTCTTTTAGCATCCAGGACTGAAATAGCTCTTTTCTGTTCCAGAACCCAGGATGCTCTCTTTTTACCAGAACATTTGGAAGTAAAAGATAATCTCCATTATTCTTAATCACATGAGTGAATTCTAAATGGGAGAAATGTACAGAACTACAGTGGAACATCAGATTTGCTTATGCTAGTTGCTAAATTTGGAAGCTTACCTGCTGTCAATGTGGAAACTTCCAGCTGCTGAATGCACATATATTTTTTGGCGAGTCACTCCATCATTCAGATGGGTTTTAGTCTTTGGCAGCTTGTGCCCATTCATCTATATCTGATTGTCCCTCAGTGTCTGGGGGCAGGACCCCTGACATCAACATCCATGCATGCTCAGGTACCTTAGATAACGGTGTGGAATTTGTTTGTAACCTCTGCAGTCTTCCTGTATCCTTTAAATCATCTCTAGATCTCTTATAATACCTACTCTAATGTAAATGCTGTGTAAATAACTGTTTAGAATCTGTTCTGAGTATTTTTGGTCTGCAGTTGGCTGAGTTGGTGCATGTGGGACCTGAATGAGCAGAGGGCTGATTGCACAGTGAGGAAACTCAACAGTAAGGAACCATTTCTCTCCTGTTTGAAAGACCAAATTCTCTTGTGTTAATGGGAAAACCTTGCGAGAAGCAGGGAGATATAGAAGACAGAGTCAGAAACAAAACAGGTTAGAGTTGCAGACAGGTCCAAGTTTGAAACAACCCCCTGAACCTGAAATATGGATTTTTTTTTTACTCAAAACATGGAATATTGGGCTATGAATACCCAGACATCTCAACCTTCCTCCATCAAATAGACTGCGTACGTTTAAGTTCATGATTTTGTTTGTTTGCTTGTTTTTTTAATGTGAGGTACCTTGCAGAAGCCTATGTCTTGATATAGAAAAAAGAGAACAGTGCTAGCATCATCATTTTCTATGCCTGGGTTATTCACACTGAATGCAAAAAAAAAAATCTGTTCTGGTAAAGTAGGGCATAACACTGAAGATGAAAACATCTTTGAAGGACCAGGACCACGGAATTGTTACTTCATTTTGTTCTGTTAATATAGAACAAACAAAATAAAAAATCTTTCCTTCCTTTTCTCAGGCTACTGACATTTTTTCCCCCGGTAAATTCAAAGGGAAGAAGCTGATAGAATCTAGATGAACCATGATGTTATTTAGAAACTTTGTAAACATTTCAGTTTTTACACAAAGCTTATTGCTCAGGCCAAGGCAGCTTGACCCACTTCTGCTTGAACCAGAAGTTAGACCCCCTTTTCTGTTTCTGTAGGGGTCCCTTGGGGGGCGGGCATTGGGGGGTCCCTAAAAGGGTCAGCACAGCCTTCAGTCACAGTGGGTTATTTCCTGGTGGATGTATTCCTTTAGTTTTCACAAAAAGTGCCTTTACAGTTTGTATCTTTATTTTGCATCCTTTTCTCCTTTGCTTTCTCTTTTTGGTTGTTAGTACGGAGTGGGGCCTTGTCTCCTGGGCCTACTGGTCATCTGCTAACCTTTGCACCTGAGTATCACTGTAATTGGATGGGATGGTGCTGGGGGAAAAAAATGACTTTGGATGGTGCCTTTTGGTGGGAGGAGCCTGGAGACAATCCCTTACCGTAATCCATCTGGAAATACATCAGCATTTTGTATTCCAGTGTTTCCTCTCCCTTCCTCTGCCCCGATGTGAAAGTTAGCTTCTTTCTGATTTCCAGTGTTCTGCAGACTTTCTGATTCTGCACTTTGGTCGCTTTCCTGAACCCTCTCTGCACAGAGAGCTCAGTTCTTTACTCTCTCTGCACAGCCAGCAGTAACCTAAATGGGGCCCTTTGAAGTCTTAGGAGATCTGCACTCTCGCTGATGCGGAGTGTGCAGGGAAGAGCCCTGAATGAACAACTTCTGTCCTGGAGGCTTTCGTGCCACGAAAGAAAAATCAAAGAAGGATTAATAATGTGAAAACAAAGCACACTTAGTTTTGTTAAATATTTCATCCTTTTTCTATGTGTACACCAAACCAATTACAGATTCAAAGCAAATGAGTTGCACATTTTACTGGCGTAATCTTTGGCAGAGGAGCTGGCAGTAACAGAGAATGCCAGGGATGTACAAAGTTGTCTTACTGCTTTCCTTCAGCTTTGATCCATTGGCAGAATTGATAGATGCTAAGTTCATCCACATTTTGTCTGCTTTGCAGTCATTTTTTTAAATACCAAGAATGAACAACATTTTAGTTTCACCAAGTTTAATGTTTCTGTGTTAGAATTAGCCACATGAAGCCATTTAAATGTAGTCAGATTTAAGTAAAAAAATAATTGAGTTTCTCAAGTCCACTAGCCGTATTTCAGTTGCTCAACTGCTCTGTGTGGCTAATGGCTTCTATCCTGAATAACTTAATGCAGAATAGGTATCACTGAGCATCCCTCTCATAGGTCTCACATAGCAACAAGGCCACAAAGTACCTGTGGTTGTGAGATGTGATGCGTGCATGTTCACTTTGAGATGTGTGATGCTAAGTTGGGAGAATAAAGTGCTTTAGAGGAGGTTTCCCGATGCAAAGATGTGAGGTCCTGGAGAAAATAAAACCAAGCACAAGGCCTGTAGATGTCAGTCCTGATGTGCTTCTCCTGGTATGACACATCAAAGGGAGACAGAACTTTGGAATTCAGGTAGAGTATATTAAAAACTTTAATAAATTATTTTTTGCCAGACTTTGAAAGAATTAATGGAAATGTTACTCGTCAGAATAGAAAGCTGACTAGGAACAACTAGTTGTGCTTCCCAAGGGATCCACTGGAAGTGAGAGTGAGGAGATGGGCACGCTAATGTAAATATACACACGTTCTCTTAATTTCTGTGACTGGTTATTAGAAAATAAATTGCTGATGTCTGCGGTTCCAGAGTGGTGAGTGTCTTCCTCTGCTTACTGAAGAGGTAGCTCTGTCTTGAGTGTATTCTTGTGACCTTCGATTAAACTCTCGGCAATGATTCATTTTAAAATTGCTTTTTGTTAATTTTCAAGAAAATACTGAAAGTACAGGAAAAGACAATTTAAAGAAATCTCATCTACTAGCTGTATAATGCCTGTACATTCTGATGCTTTCTATAAATTTCTAGACTGAAAGAGACACTGTTACAGCAGCAGGTGAAGTACTGAGGTGATAATTTCTACATATGCAACACAACATGGAGATCACCTCACCTTTATCAGTTTCTAAAGATAGGAACAAGGCATGAGGTGATGTGACACAGCATCTGGCTGAGTCCAGCTGGCTTTAGAGGACCATTGAGAAAGCACAGCTCAAGGAAGCTGAGTTATGGTCTGAGCCCCACAGCTGATCTGGCTCAAAGGCTGAAGGAAACTCCCCTCTCCTATTTCTCCTGTTCTAGACTCTTATGAATTCTGCAAGATTTAAAAAACTATGTTACATTGATCAGTGGATCCCTGGCAAATGCCTGTTGGGCTGATGCTGGGTGAAGGTGATGTTTTAGAATCCTATTTGCCTTTCATTGGAATTACCTTGATGGAAGAATTCTGCCTATGCTTCTCTGTGTCATTTCTGTTCTTTGGTGTGAAAATCTTTGCCACAGTGACTATTAATTAACATAAGAAGGATGGATTGACTTCTGACTATAGGAGATAAATCACCCCAACTTTTGACAGCAGAGTTAGGAAAAAAAAGCAAAGATTAATTGGTTTTATTTAGTGGTGTATTGTTTATAGTGATAGCTATTAAAAATAGATAACCAGAGGCTAATAAATGTTAATGGTCCTTTCACTATTAGAAAATCAATTGTCAGTGGATATAGCATATATTAATAAATTATTTTATTTATAATCTTCAATAGATTTTAAAAATTTAACCCCAAGAGAATTATTTCTTGATGATTCATTTTGAGGTTAACATTTACTGCATGAACAGATTTGGCAGGAGGACATTTTTATCTACATATAGCTTTAATGGCTTTCAAATCATTATTTTATAATTGTAATAAAATGCATGTGTGATTTGTCAGGATTGATAAACTCCTTACCAAAGATTCTTATATATTTCTTTGAAACTTGTTTGAAAGCAGTTAGATAGATTTCTAAATGTAAGTAATTAAAATTGTATAGTATTGAGTTATTGATCAATCCTGGACTATTAATCAAGCTAAAAAATTCTACAATCAGTGCTCAGTGTACTGAAGCCTGGTAAAATAATAGTATTTGTGTTCAGTGAGACAGGTAGCCACAATTAAACACCTCACTTGACAAATGAGAGGGTACACTTTATTTTGCAGTTAATTGAATTGTTGTACATGCTCGGTCACCATTGTCTCCAGCCCTTCATTTTGGTTCCTGGTCATTGGCACTCGTGCATTTGCTAAAGGTAGAACAATTAAATCTGCTTTTGCCATTGGCTTTCTAGATGCAGGCAGAGACATCTGGGCTACAAACCAGGGCTTAGTGAGTGCTGTTGTTGTCCTTTACAATGGATTATTAATTTTCTGAACAAAAATTTGATAAACAAATTAGAACCCTGTCAATGAATGATACGAAAGAGCTTCGAGTAGGGAAAACTCCTCAGGTTTTGTATCACTCACCAGATTCTGCTTAAGTAAGCAGAGAAACTTCTGTAGAGAAGACAGAAATTTAATCTATTTTATGAAAACAAAAATTGATTTATTTCTCATGAGCTGGGGAGAATGTGCTCTGGTAATCTTGCTAATTATCAGGTATTTGTCACAACTTCTTCCCATTCACTTTTGCATCACAGTCATTCTTTTGCAAGCATAGCGACATCCTGTCACTTCTGGGCTGCTAGAAATCATTCCTTGCTACCATATTAAATTAGGGTGCTGAGATTCAAGAAGAAGACTCAGTGGGTAAACATCTGGAGGAGGTGGTAAGGAAAAGCAAGGGTTTCTTCTACAAGGAGACACACATGGGTACACATTTGTGTTTATCTGTGCAACACCAGTGGTTGGAGTATGGACCCCAAGAAAGTTTAGTTTTTCTTAAACCGTGTATGCGGTTTGCTCATGAATTTCCATGTTTGCCTGACACTTAGAATTAAGATCCAGACACCCTAGAATGACCTTGGAATCAACAGCTGATGTCCGTTGAGGACAGTTGGTCTGCAGTTTTCTGAACTGACAGATAACTACACCTGCTTTTCTTTTTTTTTTTATTTTTTTTTTTATTTTATTTAAGAGGAAAAAGAGAAAAACACAAAACAAACCAAAGCGGCGTAAGGGTACACGCAATACAGAACTACAAAACAAAACAAAACAAAACAAAACAAAACAAAAAACCATAACAGTAAGAAATTACCTGCTAGTAGATTACACACTATTTTCTTGAAAATAGTTCCTCAAATCACAGTATCAAAGAACACAAGGTGGACATTCAAACAGGGAGACTGCAAACAGCTGTGTTCAATGTTCCAAAAACATTGATAAAGTCAGCTATTTAACACCCCCAAACACACTTGCTGTTATATCCGTTAGAGCTCTTTTTTTTTTTTTTTTTTTTCACCTGCTTTTCTTGTCTCAGAGGATTACTGTAAAGATTAAACTAGATGATTGATTTTGAAGGACTTTGAAAAGTTAAGAATGCCACGAAAGCATGGGAGGCAACTGCATATTTTCTTTTGTAACAATCTGCTTAATCAAGTTTAGGCTTTGAACGCTTACAAAGATGCATGAATATTCACCTCTGGGGAGATAAGGACAAAGCAGGGGTTCTGGAAATGGTACGATTAATACTGGAAAGAGCATTCATTTGGGAATTAATGTGTCCCAGCAGTTTTATGACTTTTGTTTTTCTGGCAACAAGTAGTGGGAACCCAGAGGCCTCAGCTCTATGCTTAGTTTTAAGAAGTGTGGGAATGTCACCAAGAGGTTCAGCCCCTTACTTCATGGTTCTGACTTCTCCACTACTGCAGGAAACAATGACCAGGCAATCTCTTTATTTGTTTCAGACCCTACCAGTGTGGCCACTGCTCCCAGTCCTTTTCCCAGCCTTCAGAACTGAGGAACCATGTGGTCACTCACTCCAGTGATCGGCCCTTCAAGTGCGGCTACTGTGGTCGTGCCTTTGCCGGGGCCACCACCCTCAACAACCACATCCGAACCCACACTGGAGAGAAGCCCTTCAAGTAAGTAGCAGCCAGCCACCGGCTCTCTTTTCCTTCTTACCACTTTCTGAGAGCTGGCAGATGCATTGGTTTGCAGAGCGCTGTCCTGCTCAGGCAGTCGGTGGTAAAGGCTCCTAGAAGGTCCATGCCCAGGCTGCCTGAAGCTCTCCTGATTTAGTGACTAACATTTTGGAAATGAAGTCAGGAAACCTGTATACTGGATGCGAGGGTGGTACGGCTGCCACGTGTCACTCCATTGATTGCAGGGTTGATTTGGCTGATCTGGCTGGCAAGGCAAGTGTCCCTTCCACCATGATTGCTCCATGTGCTGTGCACTCGGTTGACGAGAAGGCCAGCCTGCTAGAGAAGGACCATTTTCTTGGTCCAGTGTATCAGAGGAGCTGTGCTCCCATCAGAATCTCCAAACAAGTGCTCAAAGAAACACGTGTACAGGGCCTGGCTCATGTTTTACAGCACTGGACAAAAGGAAATCTGAGTCATCATCAGTGAGATGAGATGAGGAGATAGGAGTCAGTACTTCCAAATTCTTCCCAGTTGCTCAGAGTCTGTGCTTCTAAATTTTATCTGGGAGCCACACAGAACTCTGATGGTGGCAAGTCCTGTGGTCTTCAGGTTAGGGCTGCATAACCTTCTCTTGGAGTACATGAACACTTTAAGACTCTGATGAACTGTTTCCTGTTGTTTTCTGTGTATTAAAGAGCTCGAATTTATTGTAGCAGCCAGCTGGTGACCGTTTAGTGTATACTCTCAAAACTGCCATGTTGGTGAGAAAAGAAAAAACCAAACACAGGGCTTGTTGACTTTGAGGATTCAGGAAATATGCAAAGAGATGAAAGGGTTTGAGGAATGTAAGGTCCCCTGAACAAGAAAGTGTGTGTTGGGGCTGGGGATTTAGCTCAGCTGCTTAGATGCCTGCTTGGCAAGTATGAGGTCGTGAGTTCGATCCCTGGTTCCAAAATAAAGAAAGAAAGTGTGTGTCAACATGTAGCACAGTCACCAAAACAGTGGACATCTGAATCATGCCATACATCCTATCCATTCAATGATTCATTCATTCTTTCACTCATTCAATTATGTATGTATTTATTTACTCAGAAAATATTTATCGAGCACTTACTTTTATGATAGACACCCTGCTAGACAAAACAGATAAAAAATGACTTTAAAGTTCGTGGCAGGAGCCCAATTAATAAATAAATATTGCAACATAAAAAAAAGTACAGCAATAAGACATCTCTATAGTGTTTGAGACTAGCAGGGAAGTAATCACTGTGCTTTATGGGAGATGATGTTTAAGATGTGTTTTAAAGAATAAGCAGGAGCTTCCAGACAGACAAGGAAAAGGAGGGATTTCCATTCAAAATGGCATGTGGGAAGGCTTGGGAGGGTGCATAGTGAGCTAGTGGCTCAGTGCATTTCTGTGTGATGAACTCTTTTTTTTTTTTTTAAACCTCTGACATATGTCTTTATTTATTTGCCATACTGGCTTTTCCCATTTGAGAAGGAAAATTAAAAAGGCATAGATGTATAGCTTTGTTTACCTTCTGTGGGACAAGATCAAGCAAGACATGAAAGGATTCAGGCAGTAGAAGATAGATACAGATCCCTTTGCTAAGCCTCCCCCGAGAAGTCTTCCCAGAGACTCACTATTCTCTCTCTGGAGATGCAGTGGGGCTTCCTCCACCTGTGGGCAGGTGCACCTTGGGGTGTTGAAGTCCTGTGGATCTGGGTCCAGTTAGCAATGGAGGAGCCTATGAAAGGCCATCATCTTTTGTTACCTCCCCAAGAATTGGTTACCTCTGTTTAACTACGTTCCATCATTATTTAATTGCTTTTAAAACTAAAAGCAGTTTAATTTCTGTCTGTGTATATAGGTGCAACTTGTTCACTGTGTAAGGGCACCTGGCTGAGCGGGTAGGAGGGGCGCTAAAGTTGGCCTGCAGAGCACCAGCCAAGCTGTGATGTGGGGCCGCCATGGTTCAAGGTCTACCTTACTGCAGTCTTAGGAGTTGCTTGCGTGTGGTGTCTGTGTCCTGCCTGGGGAACTCTGTCCTCAACGCCAGGCCCAGCACCCAGAGGGCTCACAGATTCTGTTCCTCACCACTGCCCTGGGGGTAGAAGTGTCAGCAGCACATTTCTTGTGCCTTTGAGAAACAGAGATTTCAAACACAGAGGCATATGTCCCTTATATTAGAGAGAGCAGCCAGACAAATACAGTGTCAGGAATAAGATTGATTTTTATCTTGTTGCTGTGTAAATAGATTTTAGTAATTAATTGAAGAGGTTTCAGGGTCAAAATGGGAAATAGATTTCTGTTAATGTTAAGGTGTTACTTATGTGTAACCTTGTTGACTCCACTCAATTTTTTCTTTAACATTCTGTTTTTGTCATGTTTCCAATAGAATTGCCATGTTAACTTACTTTTAATTCATCAGATTAATATTTGAAGGGCTTTGGTGGTTGTATCTTTCCCCTTTTCCTACAGTTTTTATTGGTGGTGGTGGTAACTACCTCGTTTCATGTGGGAAAAACAGAATGGCAGCAAGCAGGATTGTTGTGTTCAATTGTTGGTGCGTGTTGTCACCTGTTCTGCTCCTTCCTTATCGAGATAGCCACACATTGTAGTATTTCGTATGTACTCCAAGGCAGAGGTGAATGTGTGCTTATTTTGAGAGTGCAAAATTTAAACATCTTATAGGAAATAGAAAGTTAAATCCTTTAGTATATACCACCAGGTCTTCCAGGATTGAGGGATCCCAGGATTTCAGGAGTTCAGGTCCCAAGGGAGTTTTGGGAATCTTCCAACCATGGCTCATGGATATCTGACCCCTGGGCATTTGTAAATATTATAAAGATAGCCTTTTACGAGCTTATAAAACAAACAGTCAAAAACACTTTTGTTGCGTACCAGTCAGTAAAAAGGGTTTCATCACAACAGTTACTTTTACTACTTCAACTAATGGGTATTGGCTTAAACAATACCACAAGAAAGAAGAATCTTACAAAGTCGTGCAAGCCTAAACTGTACACCAAGGACAACCTCAAATCCATGGCCTAAGTGGCTCAGTCCTCAAGTTGCTACTTCCCCCTCTACGGCTCAGGAGACCTCCAGGGGCCCCCGGGTTAGCTGAGACTCAGCCTGCCTAGTCAGGGGAAGCCCTTTTCAAGTTGGAAAGCCGTCTGCTGAGAAGTGGGTTTTGGAGGCAGATTGAGATGACTGGCATCCAAAGGCTGGAGAAGATTTGACATTAAGGGGTCGGAATTCATCGCAGGCTTTGCCTCACGATCTGGTTAGCTGAAACCCCACTGGAGGTCTCTGTCTCCCAAGTTCTAGTAGAACAGGGGCCTGTTGACAGCTAACCTAGGCTGTGAATTTAACATTTCTACAGTAAAAGGACATACAGGAAAACCGGAAGATGTAACATGTGAACAGAGATCTTGGTTTACAGTTTGTTCTGTGAGACTGGAACTCATGGACAGCAAAGAGCAAAAATGCAAGACGTTGTTTCATGTAACAGCAAAGACCAAACAAGGTCTTCACTGCACAAAGCGAGGTGTGGAGGGAGGGCAGTTGGCAGTTTAAAAATGTCTTCCAGCGAGGAGCCCTTGTCCCTGTGACGAAATGCACTCTCTCAGGGTTTCAGGTGCAGAGCTCTTCTCTGCCTGGAGGATCTGTACGGGCTGCTCTCTGCCTGGCTTCCAAGCTCAGGAGACTGTGCAAGTAGGCCAGCACTCTCCCAGATGGCCTTTTCATCCTTTTTAGGAGTAAGGGGAAATATATCCCTCTGTGCTTTTGCCTCAAGTGAAGGCAGTTTGGCTTAGTATAAAGAAATCAAAGGAAAATTTAAAGGATGTCTAACATTTGAGCAACATGTAGACAAAAATCAAAGCAAATCTAAAGAGCGATCAGTAAGTATGCATTGGACGTGGCACAGATAGGAAGCCCTGTACATTTTGGTCCAATTCAAGAAGTGTTTTGTGACATGTCGCAGATGCACAAGCAGCTTTTTGCAAGCTTTCTGTGTGTTACACAGAACCTTATGTTGTTTACTCTATATGGTTCTATGAATTATACACAAGATTACATTGTTTGTTAAGCTCCCTGTATGTATCATTCAGTCAGCTGTCACAGAGTAAAGCAGGATGTCTGAAATCGTAAAGGAAATCAAGTTTAATTCAAACTCCCTCCAATCAAGAGCCAGAACTTGCCCTTTGCTGAAGTCCTTGGAAGGTTTTCCCCTTGCATGTCCTGCACGTTCCGTTTGAGGCTGTAACAGTGACATGCATGTTGAAGCAGCCCCCGGATACAAGAGCATCTCTCTCCTCCTGCCTCATTCCGTGCATCTCGGCCCTCCTGATCCTGCTGTGGTGAGTGCAGGAAGTGCACTCATGCAGGCGACTTGGACCGAATAGTTCCATGCAGCTGTGAAAATGTTTTGTGGAGGGGACTTCATTAAAACTTAAGAGGACGAACATAAAACCAAGGCCCTTCTCTTATTTTTAAAGTAATAACTGTCTTTATGTCCTCAGACGTACAAATTACATAGCTGTAATTCTTGAAGTATATATAATTCCCAAATAATATAAACAGGATTTCTAGTATTCCATGTTCTTCAAGAAGGAGAAAATCGGGATAAGATTGAAATTCTGGTAAATTTCTTTACATCTGTACGTGATTTTTCTTGTGCTTGGTGAGAAGGTAGTACTAGACATAATTTTACAGGAATGATTTTCCTACCAGAAAAATCTGATCTTTTTTTTGAAATTTATCTCAAGAATCAGAAAATGTTCCTATTATAACATCGTGCTCCCTACATGTAAATACTTTGTAGTTTCCCTGAGACATTTAGGCAGACACTACAGGAAAATGTAATTCCTTTCACTGTCTTCCCTCCAACATGGGTATCTAATGTAACACAGCAACACACTGTTTTGCTTTATGTGAAGTACTAAATGTCCTGCTTAGGAATTTTTCATATTCTAACACACAAGATTAGAAGGGCAGAAGCATGACCCAGGCAAACGTCGTTCCTCACACATTTTAATGTTCTGCTCTCTAAAATTGATTCTGGAGCTTCAAAATAAAAAAATAAGAAAGGAACACAATAATTTGAAAGTTTGTTGAGTAGTGAAAGGTAGTATATTTTGACATGCTAATCTAGTAACTAATCAGTTTTCTAATAAACAATCAGCAGTCCGCTAGCATGTCATCAGCTTCCGAGAGCTGTGGATTGGGGATGAGCTGCCCGTGGACGTTAATGAATACACTGGAAATCATTAGGTGATCGATACTTCTGAGTTATTTTCATTGAGCCGATAGGCCTGATACATTAAAGCTGACATTATACATTTGTCAAGATCACAGTGCAGTTTTTAACAGTGGATCAGGCTGCTTCAAAATATTTCCTGAAAGACAACCACAGAAACTCAGCTTCTTGCCCTGGCACTGATCTGGCACAGAAGCTCAGAAAATCCATGCCTGTGGCATCTGACACCTGCAGATGTGCAGTCACCCCAGCCCGGCAGCGTGTGTTTCTGTGGGTAACTGTGTGGGGCAAGCTCTTCTGTGGCTCACGTGGAGGAGAAGGAGGACCGCATCCTGAGAGTAGGCCCTGGCCCGTCATCTGTGTTTACGGGCCTGGGAGCTGGAGGTGGGCATAGTTAAGAGCAAATGATTTTATCTGCAGCTCCTCTGGGATATTTTCCCTCAGATGTCTAAGGGGCTGGTTGAGGTGCTTGCTGGGCTCTGACAGGAGCTGGGCAAGTGCTCCAGGCCACCCATCTGAGCAGAGTTGTGACAGAGAAGTCACAATCTCTGCCCAGCCTGATGCCGCAGTTCATTTGTGGCGTGTGACAGCTGGGACAATCAGCCAGGGACAACAATCACCACCACGGCAACAACCCCCACCAGACTGGATGTGCTGCTTGTCAATTGAGTAGGCGTGAGCTGGTCAGTGAGGGTCATGTGGGGTGGGATGTCTCTAGATGACCACCAATCTTCCTCACTTGCTCCTTCACGCCTGCCTACCTTCCTGTATTTCTTCCTCTTTTGAGTTAAGTGAAGAAGATAGTCCTGGAGCGTTAAGGCAGTGTCCTCTCTAACACCTGGCCTTCATCATGGCCACACACACATCATTCGTACTTCCACAGGGATGAACCCTTCAGGCACACATTCATTGATTTCCAGTTTTTCTGAGTGCTCCCCCCTGACACAAACCTACTTCTGTAGATCATTTCAGCCCTCTCTTTAGTTGGATGGTGACACCATAACTAGCCTTTGCATAAAAGCAGCCACCTGCGTCCACCCCTCAGTCACTGCATACAAACGCGTCGTCTGCAGATTCCAAGGTGATTGGATGGCTCTTCAGCTGCTGCGCTGAGGGGAGGAGAATTCTGGGTTTTAAATTAGCAGCAGGTGAAATTCTATTTGTCATCAATTTCTCTTTGGGGTTACGGAGCAGAAAACTGTAGACAAGCTGCTGCTTTGATGGCTCACTCCTAAAAATCTCTTTTTGTTCTTTATCTATTTGAACTGACAGTGATCAGAGCTGCAGCAGGACAGGGCTCTCTGGAGAAATCACCTTCCCCCTGCCTATTGACAGATCCCTCTGTTCCGCATCAGACGGGCTTTGTCCCATCCCAGGCATCCAGGCCTTGGAAGGAGCCACCAATTAAACCTCTTGAGCCGGTAAAATCTGAAGCCACTTTGGAGTGTCTGTTCTGATTAGTCAGGATGAGAGGAAGCCCATCACCCTGCGGGCCCCTGTCCCTGGTCTCAATTTTCTCTCTTGCTTCCACCAGGTGCGAGAGGTGTGAGCGGAGCTTCACGCAGGCCACCCAGCTGAGCCGGCACCAGCGGATGCCCAATGAGTGCAAGCCAATAACCGAGAGCCCAGAATCAATCGAAGTGGATTAACTGATTGACTGGTTGGAATTAAACTGCAAGGAAAGTCATGATTAAATGTCACGGACACTTAAGCAAAACCAAAGATTTCCTCTGAGCAACTTTCAATCAGTCCCAGAAAACCAAAAGCAGTAATAAAATAAGTAAGATGTTAAGAGATATTGATCCTGGCATAGAAGTCAGACCAGGAAAGAGATTATTTATTTATGACTAGGGATGAAACTGACTTCGGTGGACAACTACCGTGGGATGGCTCACATTTCCAGTCCTACCGTGTGTTTGCTTTGTTTCTAAAAAGCTTTTTTTAAACTGTTATTTAATACCAAAGGGAGGACTCCGGTGAGTTCTTCTGCGCACGCTGTGACTAGGAATGCACAGGGCCTCGCTGCACCTTTTCTCGTAGCATGTTTGGAGGAGACCCATGGCATCGGCCTCCTTCCTGCTGTTCTGGTTCTGGTCCTGGCCTGGCCCAGTGTGATGCTGGCTGCCCAGCACGGCCTGCAGAAACAAGGCAGAGCCGGGCTGTGGCTGTGCCACCGGCAGCCCGAGGCAGCTCGATTCAGCACCCTTCTTCGTGTGCACTTTCCCGCGGCTCCTCCTGCCCAGCATCCCCACCGTGATGCAGGAAAGCTGCGGACAGGAAGAAAAGTTTGCAAGTTCAGAGGAAGATGAGGGGACTTCATCCTGTCGGGACTGCAAAAACATTTAAAATATATGGGGCTTCATAACACAGTATATTGTTTCGAACAGCTAGTTGAGAAAATTTTGTTTTCAATAACATTTTAGCTTAAAAATGGAAATGGAAATAAAGTTCTCCGGTTTGATGCTAAATATAAGGTATTAGGCTTCAAGTAATTTTTTGCTGTTTTCATTACAGCTGTTGCATGTGTGTGTGTAATTGGGGTGCCAAGTGAGCTATTGTGGGGAGCGTGAGACTGAGGGCTTCATATCCCTCCCTCATACAGGTGCAGCCCGAGGCCTCGATACTCACCACCGAGCAGAGCAGAACCATTTTTGCACAAATAGGGCAGACAAAGCAATGCTGAGCGATGGGGCCGTGGAGAGGGCTGCGGTTAAGACCAGACTGCCCGGGACTAGTTAGATTTATCAGTTGGGATTTTCTCTCTCTCTCTCCTAAAATTGATTAATCAAGAGAATTGTGTACACAGTTTCACTGTTCTTTAATTGAGTGTTTGGAAAGTGAGTTTAGTTTCAGCCAGCTTCCTGGTGGTTCAACAATAGCATTCAAACAACTGAGTCATATTCCATGAAGTCATCCCATGTCAGGAGGAACTGCTGAGTCCCACAGCTCTCGGTTAGTACCTCTCAGGCTGAGTTTACCTCTATGGCCAGTTGGGATCAAACTGAATAATGCATGTTAGTGTTTAATAACAACTTCAGTTTGTCGGTTTCTTGGTCACCTGATAGCAAGTTATAGCCTCTTAAACTTGTCTTTGTGCTCTTCCATTGTCTTCCAGAGAGAGAGAGAGAAAGAGAGAGAAAGAACTTACTACTGAAAGGCAAGGAGACTGTGTAGTTCAGATTAAGCTATTGTCCTTGTGTATTGATTCTCCAAAAATTTTCTTTGTCTTTTAACTTTATTTCTCTATTTCTTAGTACCCAATTGCCACATTTAAAGGGACAAGATAGGGCTTCATTACTTCATGGATTTGTAATTCATCTCTAGGATTGTAGGCCACAAAGAGGAATTTGGCTGGTTTTGACCTCTGTTGCCCAACTTCAGCTCATTCACCTCAAATCTACCCCAGCCCAGGCTGGTGCCTTGGCATGGCAGTGTGTGCAGGCTATGCTGCTGTGGAAACATTTTTAATTGGGAGTATTTTCTCTGGTAGGTAGGGATGCATTATGATTTTACAGTTTCCCACCCTAAGTGACCGGGACATCAGCCAACAACATGGGTCGCTGGGAAGAGTGGAAAGATTGTCGCTGTATTAACCTGAAACTCGCAAGAAAACAATGGATCAGCTATGGAGATGAGCAAATTCTTCCATGTATCAAGGTTGAAACATTTGATTGAAAACTTTGAAAAAGATAGTAAGGAATGTATTCATGTGTTTGTAATTTTTTTCAGTGAGAAAGATTGGCTCATTCACTTTGCTTCCTTTTCCAGTGGAGCACAACGTAGCCCACCCATGGATTGAAAATTCAGAGTGAGAAGGGTTCATTGCTCCCTTGGTAGCTGCATGAGGAGAGTTTCCATGGCAGTGATTTCTGCCACTCAGATGGCTTTGCTAGCTGTCCCAAACGCCCAGCGGCTCTGGCAGTAGCTCCTCCTAGAGGAGTCTTAGCATTCTACTCCATTTAAGTCTGTTATTTTCTTCTCTGTTGTTAAGACTTTCACATATGGGGCTGGGGATTTAGCTCAGTGGCATAAGCACCTGCCTTGCAAGCAGGCAGTCGTGAGTTTGATCCCTGGTACTGATAAAAAGTTAAAAGTTAAAAAAAAAAAAGACGTTCACATATATATTCCACCAAATTGGATCAGAAAGTATTTATAGAGAGTTGGGTACTTAAAATTCCAGGCATTTGGGAGCATTCACAGCTGCCACCTGACTTGGCCATTGTCACCTTCCAGCAAAGCAGTGTAGGCTGTCTGTCCACCAGACAGATGCACACTATGAAATGATGTGGCGCCTGGGAGCAGGTGCTGGGACTGTTGGGTTCCAAATGCTTTGCATCGCTGCATTGGCTGGGAAGGGGATTCTCCTCAAGACCACCCAAAAGCAGGAAGGCTTTGGAGTTTCCTACTTACCTGGCCTGGCAGCCTCTGAAGACAGCACACGAGGGCAGGGTTTGCTGTCTGAAAGTTAGATCAGTTTCCCTTACTAGAAACTTTGTAACTAATAATGATATACAGAGCATAGAAACTCTGAGTCACTAAGCAAAGAAGTTACCAAGAATAGACAGTTCAATCAGGGTTTGCCTCTTAAAGCAAACTTCCCTTACCATTTTCTGTCAGTGGAGCAGAAGATTGTTTTTTGTTGTTTTCTCTAGAAAAGACTTTCCATCATAGCATATGTGTTGCTAAGAGTCTAAACCAAAAGGTAATACTAGATAACAGTCACAGTACAAGAGGATGTGGGTGGGGCTGTGGGCCATTGCTTTTCTAGAAGAATCTCAGTAACCTAAAAGAAAACTGAATACTTTTTCCAGGAAGTCTGTGTTTTTGAAAATAAACTTTTCATTTTGGTTCTGTCTTTAATATTTACTTTTTAAAGGGGGGATATGCTTCTACAAAGCTGTTGTATATTTAGAGCTGTAAAGCTTAACCTTGTATGACTGATACAATCTGATTCAATTAGTAAATTTTTATTGAATATTCATCCAGGGGTAGCTTTGTTGAGAAACTATACCAGATGGAAGATTATGATACCACTTCTACTTGACAGGGTTATCATTTATTGGAATTTACCCAGAAAACCTTCATTCTAGTCCAGATATACAAATATTTATAAACATTTGCAGACTCATCAGTTTTTAATCAGGCTATTGGTTCATTGGTCCATTCATTTAGTCAACAAATGAACTCTTGTTTTCTGTCAAGGTGTTTGTCATTATTTAAGCAAGTGTTGGAAAGAAAATGGTATTGTCCTGTGTGGCCAGCTAGTGGCCCGAGTGACTTAGTCCTTGCATGATTGTCTCAGTGAATTTATAGACACTATCACAACTGGGAGAATTGGGTCAAATCAGGACCAAAAGTAGTGTCTTGCAGAACAAGTTCAGGTACATATCTTGGTTGTCTATAATTTGTCCACCAGATGCTTGGTTCTTAGCCACATTAGGAGACCAGGATCAGGGCCAGTGTCTTCAATTTTTATGATCCTGTTTCCATGGTAAGGCAGCAAATGGGAACAAGGTGAAGTTGCTTTGAGAAAGAATTCTGTGACCTGATTTGGTCTGAGGCATCTCCCTAGTGACAAGCGTTGGCCACCCAGCCTTGTCTCCAGCATGTAGCTGGGGTGCTCTCAGAGGTGGGGACTTCTCTGGTGGTCTTCAGAAGTGCAGAGTTTCACTGTACTTAGGTGCTCCACAGAACACTTGCAGAGTGAGTTTTATTTGTGGCTTAAAAAGAGTGGTTTGGTTAAGTTCAGTATATTAACCTCATTACCAGATTCCTTGTGCATTGAATTAGAGGGTCTTCTTTAGTGGCACTGTCCTCTCAGGCCACAGGTCTGGGGAACATCCCTGCAAAACTAATTGCCACTAAATGATTAAAAGAAATACTTGTGTAAAAAGCTAATTCAATTGCTTTTTATAGTAGAAATATTATCACTACTGTGTTTGTTTTTCACTAATTTTAAAAATCAAATGGAAGTGTCTGTTGAGTTCTTTATAATGGGAAACATGGCATATCTCACAAAGGAGAGCTTTTCTAGAGTGGTGTGGCCAGTGGGTCACTCTGAGTGTACCTAGCAACTATGTTCCTGCATTTAGGAACATAACTTTTGCTGTCCTATTAAGGTACACATGCCTACAGAAACCAGGCCAGTTACCAGACTGCTTGATATGAATTTAAATTTGTTTCCCACAGCCTCACCATTTCCTGACATCAAATCCTGAAAGGTACTGAGAGATAAGCTTCTTTGAATGATAACAGTAAGTTCCAGAAATGCCATTCCTTTGCCGTGATGCTTTCAAGGTGAAGAGCTTTAGAGACATTTACAAAGTGAATAGATGTTTGGGTACTTATCTGCCCAAGAGCCTGAGTTTTCTCATCATTAGCATTTATCTGATGCACCGCAAAATAACAATACAGAGTTCCAAGAAGAGGCACATATTTCAGCCCTGTGCCAGGTTAAATTCCACAAACCCAAAGATCAGCTGTCAGGAGCACAGACAGCCAAATTGGAAGGGATATCACTTTACCTCTGGAAGCCTTGCCAGAGACACTTAGCTTGCTGTACATTGTTATGTTTAACATTTAAAATACTCATTTAGTTTCTTTTAAATAGTGATGCCATATAGCTCATCAGACCAATATATAAAATGACAAAATCCAAAAGTATGTTAGCAAACAGGGCAGAGACCTGAAATCCTTGAACTGTCTTCCCTATATCTGAAGATCTCACTGTTGTATTTAGAAAAGAATCAGTTGACTAAATGTTAATGTAAAAATAAGGAAACTCTGAATATATTCCCTCAGATTTTTGATGGAGCTGAAAATGAAAATAACATATTACATAATTACTGTCAAATACTGTGCCAATACTTAGCAGTACCTAGCTTAATCATTAGGTCTTCTCTAGCATTCATACTCTATCATCTTTTCTCGTCTCATATATACTTAACATTATCTTGGTAGCTATTTTACTATACAGTAAAAAATTATTATACAGGGAAAATGCTTCCATATGGAAATCTCTTTGAGAACAAGAACTTTTTAAAATTAACAAAAAGGCATAATTTATGAAACATTTTTTGTAAAAACAATACAAGAAGACTTAAACTATGTATCATTGTAGTTGTTGATTCCATAATCTCCAGTTTTGTGTCACTGGGCAGCAGAATTTCAGATATCTCATTGCTTGGCAGGCACTTTTTGTTTTTCTAAACATGTGACTAAAATTCCACATTAAAAGAAAAATCCCTCTCAAGTGCGTGAAATGCATTAGGACAAATAACAACAGGCATGGAGAGCAGTTATACTAGAAAGTAGCCCAAAGGGAAGGACTAGGCTTGAACACTATTGACACGGGAAAGCGAATCCTGAATGGGCCTAAGTGAAATCCAGTGCTCTTCCTTTGTTCTGACTGAATGCTAAGTGAGTTACTTCTTAGGCATCAATGCGATAATTACACAGTAGTGTCCATTAAGA